TATATATATATATATATATATATATATATTATGCATGAGTAAGAAAAGTTGTCATATGACAAAGGACTCTTAATAAACACACAATGGGAATGGAGAAGTCCTTAAAATATCTAAAAAGAATCAACTCTTATGTATGCATAATTAGACTAAATAAGGGGTACTTAAATGTGAATGTATGCATAATTAGACTAAAACTTAAAAAAAATTAGGGAGATTTATATACAAGCCACTCAACTCTTATGTATTTACACATCTAACTACTAAACTTTATTTTTTATATTTCTAATCTCTTATATCTCATAAAATAAACCATTATTTCAAGTTTTAAAAGAGGAATAAGCCTTTCATGGATGGGTAAGTTGGCAATATGTAAAAATTGAATTTTGGATGTTAGTTATGTAAATACGTGAGAATTGAGTGGTGTCTACGTAAATTTTCCTAAAAATTATTTTTATGTGCTTTAATTGTGAAATTCAAGAGCCATGACATAACATCCATGATATAATATATGCAATTTTGTAAATAATGTACACATAAAAATAAATGAATATAAATAGCTAATATTTATATCAGAATAATTTATATATAAATGACTTTATAAAATAAAACATGATTAGTCATAACTCTTAAAGATTTTTATTGAAATTGGATATATGATGTTTTATATTATATGCATTTCATAATTGTCAATGTTAAAATATAAAATATACGAAAACTATTTTTTTTATATATTTTAAATCGATTGCCTTACAATAGACTTGGGGATCACATCTATAGCTGTAATGATCTAATTCCATAAGTAAGAAAAGTTCTATCTTTTAATCATTTAATATGTGTCTTCCCAAATTGTGAGATGGCATCATAAGCCTAATGCTATAGTGAAATTGCCTATCCAACCAAAGTAAAAAAATTTAATGAAAATAATATAAATTTATTTTGATCTTATACGTGTATTGTACTCTATAAAGGTAGGGCTGTCAAAAAAGCTCGTTGTTCGCGAACAGTTCGTGTTCGGTTCGTCAATGAGTTCGTGTTCGATTCGTTCGATAAGTAAACGAGACAAACACGAACAAATTTTTTTCGTTCGGTTAGTTAGACGAACCAAACACGAACAGTGATGCGTTCGTTCGTGTTCGAATCGTTATTGTTTGAAATATAAAATAATATAAAATAATTATATATAAAAAATTTATTATATTTTAAAACATTAAATTTTATAAATTATAATATATAATAAAATAATAATAATAATATATTAATATACTATAGTAGTAATATACTAATATAGATATTGTATATTTATATAATATAAGTTATATAATTAATATATAATATTATTTTTATATATTAATATTAGGGATGTCAAATTAGCTCGTCGTTCTTCGTTAAGAAACGAACACGAGCTTATTTCAAACAAACTACATTTTAAACGAACCGAACACGAACACAAGCTTTGTTCGTTCGTGTTCGGTTCGTTTACACCCCTATATAAAGGTGTCCCTAAGTGAAAAGGTGGGTCTATTGCAATGTAAAGATGCCATCATGATTGTTTAAGTGTGGATGCAATGCATGATTTCTATTATTATTTTATGGGGGAATCATTGAATTCTCCAAAAAGAAAAGGCCAATAAGCCAAACTTATAAGTAAAATGGCTCAAAGGAAAACTAAATTTATCTTATTTCATTATCATTCATCATTATATTTGAAAAAGATAAAATCATATATTTAAACATGGCAAAATGTGAGAGAGAAATTCAACTTCATAAATAAGTTTATGTGAATTTATTTATTTTTACTTGCTTTGAATTGGCA